TGCTTATTAGAGCATGCTGGGAAGTGTCATCACGGCAAGAGATCGCTGGCTAAAACCTGGAGGTCTAATACTTCCTTCAAGTGCAACGGTATCTTTCTTTTCCTTTTTTCAATTATTGTGACATTTGCATCTGTAGTTGTGAAACCTGTTACACCGTTGCTGCCTTGATATCATTGAATTTACAATCATGCCATGTTTATTTTGTGCCAGCTTTATGTGTTGTTAACTTCTGTATTATCAACTTAAGTAGCTGGGATCAGTTATGGATTCATATTTGGCCTTGGGCATCCTTGTGGGCATCTACGATTTCAGAGTTTAGGGAGTTTACCTTTTATTTAATCTATTTGGATTGGAAACCAGTGGTATCGTAGAGATATAGTTTTTCAATTAAAATGTGGTAGAGAGGTGTCTTAGTTTTAAGATTCTGGTTGTTGTATATTTGATGGATTTCTTGTTCACCAATTTGTAAATTCTGGTTTCTTATAAATAATAAAAAACAAGTTCTTATAATATAGCAGCTGTTGACAAATGAATTTGTTTCTATCATGCTGATTTTTATTTTGTATGCTTGCAGTTGTACATGGCACCCATCACACATTCTGATAGATACAGTGAAAGCATTGATTTCTGGCGCAATGTTTATGGAATTGATAGTGAGTACACATCATATATATTATCATCATATTCTCAACTGTTATTGGCATATAATTGGATTCATATCGCATTTATGAACATTGTCAAAGTAAAATTTTCAGTAGGGGAGCACTACTCCCACACTCCAGTGCAGTAGTGTTTGTGGGGAGCGCGAATGGTGCTTCCCCTTTCTGGATGATAAAAGAAATGACTATCAACAAGCTCACTTAAGCCTTATGTTGATGGCTTTAAAATATATATATCCTGATGTGAGCTTAGTAGCAGAATTCATTTAGATACCATTCTACTTGTATACATGGAACTTTTACTTACTAGTCAGTGAGTACATGTATGGAATCATTGATCTCTAACATTTTTATTTTATTTTATTGGACTTGTTGCAGTGTCTGCCATGTTACCATTGGCAAAACAGTGTGCGTTTGAAGAGCCATGTGTTGAGACAATCGTGGGTGAGAATGTTTTGACATGGCCACATGTGGTGAGTGTTCTGAATTGAGTTGCACATATTCGTGTGGTGTATAGGTTTTTTCCCCCCTTTTCTGCTTATGAATATCTTGATAATCATAATCTTTGCTACCAGTGTTGATGTTTTCCTTTTCTAATTTCCTGTTTGTTTTCTTTCTTTCTTTTTATGGGAGACTGTATATCTTCTTTCTGAAAATTTATAAATACTCGCGTTCTCTTCCATAGATGCAGTGGCAATTATTTTTGTGCAAGAAGCTTGCAGTCTGAAACCAATTGCTAATAGATCAAAAGATAAATTATTAGTTCCAGAAGTGGGGACATTACTCATTCGTTGAGTGAATGTTAAGTTATTTAGTCAAAGAAACACTTACATGACTTAGATTCCTTTTGCTTGATACTAGTTGAGACCATAAGATCTCTTTAATATAAGGATTTCAACTGCTATTTTGCTATACACTTCCCATTAACTCTTATAAGAAAATGATGCTGGTAAGTCGATGAATCAGTTCACTGCTTCTCTTCTTGTTCTTGGACGAAGGGTTTAAAAAATCAGGGTTTTCTCGAATTAGAAGATAAATATACCGTACAGTAGATATATCTCTGAAGAGCTCCACTCATTAGTATTTCTATTTGTGTATGTAGAAAATATACAATCTAAAGCATCATGCTGTTACTAATTGGTTGTAGGTTAAGCAAGTGGACTGCCATACAATTACCCTTCATGAGTTAGAATCTGTTACAACAAACTATAAATTCAAATCAATGATGCGAGGTCTCTCTCTCTCTCTCTCTTCCCATATATGTTGGTGTGTGTCCGTGCAAGTGTACATATTTCAGTTCTTTGGTCTCATTATTGTTATCACTACATATTTTTGATGATGTTGGAAAAAAACAATTTGTTTTCGATTATCAGTTTCATCATTTATCAACCCAAAAAATTTAATAGCTATTTCTTCAGACCTTTTAAAATTTCTTAAATTCTTGAAAACAATTAAAGAACAGTGAGAAACCTGGAAATGGAAACTTCTATTGACAAATACTGTTTGTGCTATTTTCTGATAGTGCATTGACAAACCCTGTTCATGTTATTTTCTTGCACATCTCAGTTGCATGAGTTAACATGTGATGATTAAGGAAGGGAGAGTGAAGAGTTTGCAAAAGTATGATATGAAAAATGAGTCTCAAACTATCAAATTCGCTGTGTGTTGTTTTGAACACTTTCAGGAGGAACTTTACCATGTAGAGAGAAATTCAAGTCTAAAATTCATACATTTTTTTTTTCCCTGAATCTCATACATGATGAGTATTTTCCGTTGGTTGGTTGAATTTTTTTTTTAATTTTTAAACTAAGATGTCTAATCTATTATCCAGAATCTGTTTTTTCAAGAAATTCCCAGGAAGGAGTAATGGATTCTTATGATTTAAAACCAGATTCTCGTCTTTGTGGGGTTTTGGGATTTTTCATTTGTGGGTTTTTGGGAGGGAGTTCTTATAGTATTTATCCCAGTTTATTCAGTAGACGCTGTTGTGGTTGTAACTATTCCTTAATTTACAGCTCCACTACATGGGTTTGCGTTTTGGTTTGATGTCGAATTCAGTGGGCCTGCATTAGCTGGTACAAATAATCATGCACCATCCTCACTTATTAGCAATCATCCAGTGGAAGGTCAGCAGAGGAAGAAACGAGCAAATCCCAATGAAGCGCTGGTTCTGTCCACTGCACCTGAGGACCCCCCAACGCATTGGCAACAGGTACAGTATCTTTACACTTATTTAACCCACTCTTTGGGCTACCCAGCTAGGTGATAACGGAACTCGTTAAGGTTTATGATGCTTAAACATTCTCAGTACAAAATGGTGTTTAGTTTTTGCTAGGAAACAGAATATCATTCAGTCTCATCATAATTTGATAAGTTTTTTGTAGTAACCCCCTTTGCTCAGATATTTCATATGTTACTGTGAACTTTTCTCAGTCTGTCTAATCAAGCAATATTGCAGACTGTGCTATACTTTTATGACCCAATAGAGGTGGAGCAAGATCAACTCATTGAAGGTTCTGTAACACTATCACAAAGCAAAGAAAACCGTCGATTTATGAATATCCACCTTGAATATGCGTGAGTCTCATCTTACAATTCATTAATACTTTTCTTTAACCTCGGTAAAATCACAGATGTCTTGAATGTTAGCCTCATAATTAATCTCTGCTCTTGCAGCTCAGGTGGAAGGTCCTTTGTAAAAGAGTCCGTAATGAGGTGATTCTACTAATAACTTCCTGTGTGGTTATTTCAAGGGAAGCATGGACAAGTCATTACATTGCTTAACCTGTGCCCTTCTTGCTGCCCCAAACTCTCTGCAGACCTGGCTTCTCTGCAGAACTTTCTGGGTGACCTTGCGATAACTTTTCCTTACAATTGAAGAAAGATTACTTAGTAGAGAGAGATAGGCGAATTGATTTAGGAAAGATGTGATGTTAACCCTGTTTGTGCTTTAAGAATGTTAATGTGGAGTTAGTATATTGTTGAGGTTGAATTAGAATTGAGATTTGAGATTTGAGATTTGAGATTTGAGACAGATATAAGTTGTGACAAGAGGGGGTCATGTACTTGTGACATTGTCAAGTTATTTGCGATTTCTAGTGTGCAATGGTGTACTGACCCCGACCTCACTGGTAACTAAAATTTTGTGAGTGGAATCATCTGTAGCAACTTACAATTATGCACCATTTGTTCTATTCTATTCAGATTAAGATTTTGGAAGTTGATGTTCAATGTCATGGCCCGTGTTTTTTTCTACCCCGAATCCCCTTCTCTGTATTACATTTTACATTGATTAAAATTAAAAATTTATATGATTTTTTTCGAGATTTTTAAAATTGATATTTTTGAAATTCTAATGTAATTACATGACGCGGTAAAAAATAATTAAATGTCAAAATAAAAAAGAAAAATTCAAGTTGGTTTTTATTGGAGTCAGAATTTACAATCTAAAAACGTGACTTATTATGAGGAGGAATTGGAAAGTGTAGGAATTTTCTTTTGATTTGGTTTCCTGTTAGTGTTAGGTTAGTGAGACTTGTTAGGCAAGGTATCAAGTACGATAGTTAATTAGGAAGCGGCTAGAAGAAAGCAAACCAACTTCTGCAAGGAAACAATTAACCAAGTTTGCTAGAGTTAATTAGCAACGACAAAGCAGAGAGAGAGAGAGAGAGAGAGAGAGAGAGAGAGAGGTGAAGAAACCTATGAATTGGCTGCCCTTGCCCTGCCCGTCTCCTTTATGGGGGTAGGAAACCCTAATATATATATATATATATATATATATATATTTCTGGTTTTCCCATAACACCCAGAAAGTTGTGCGAGGCTCCTTTTTACTCTTAAAACAGCATCAGCAGCAGGAGCAGCTATTTTTCTAGCTAAGCTATTCGATCTCTCGATCTAGATTCACCAGTATTTTATTAATTTCAAGATTTAAGGTGCATACTCGATCATTCTTGTTTTGGTTTTGTATGCCTTTTTCATTATTATGTGTTTATCTTAGTGTGTATTCATGGATGCCATGACGCGGTCTGTCCAATCCGGCCCACCAAACGGGGGCCATAGGCATATATATTTTCTATGCGCATACTATAACTATTTGATGTCGGGACTTGCTAGTACGTAGCCAGAATGTTCAAGCCCGTGATCAATTCTCCAATAAAACCTTTTAGCTAGGTGGCTTTTGGGTTTGATAGCCAAATTATTTGTCCTAATTAATTTCCTCCCAGTCAACAAATTATGGATTCATTATTATTAGGGTTGAAATCTTGGTATACATGGATTCATCATTAAGCTAGCCTATGATTATAGACTTGTGTTGCAGATAAGTTTAATTATATATTGATGGAGAAGGAGGGGGGCTTGACTTATGATAAGGTTGTGCTAAGAAGTTGTGACTTGGATCTGCTTAGAGGCCCACATTTCTTAAATGACAGCCTCATTGAATTCTACTTCAGCTATCTTTTTAATTCCCAATTACCAGATGTGCATGATGATGATGATGTTGATACCCAAATCCACTCGAAATCCAAAGATGACATCCTTCTGGTTCCACCTACACTCTCATATTGGCTAGCAAATTCCCTCGATTCTCAGAGTTTGAAAGGGTTTGAGGAGTCTCATAAGGTAGCCGAAAAGCAACTTGTTATTTTCACGGTCAATAATAATAAAAATGTGAGCCAAATTGATGGGGGAACACATTGGAGCTTGCTGGTGTTTTACAGAAAATCAAATACATTTGTGCATTATGACAGCTTGGGGGGATTGAATCATTGCGATGCCAGAAGACTTTATGGAGCAGTTAAACATGTGGGAGGAGGAATTAATATTACCACCTCTTCTTCTCATTCTAAAGCTACTGATACTACTACTACTACTACTACTACTACTACATCATCATCATCATCATCTTCTTCGACAGTTCGATTTAGAGGTAATCATCACAAGAAAAATATGAAAAGGGCAAGGAATATCAGAAGGGTTGGGATGATGTGCAGGGCGCCGCATTGGTTTCTCTACAATTTGATGGTCAAGGGGTTTGGTGATCATGATCGCGATGATGATGATGATGTTGATGATGATGATGAAAGGAAAGCAGCAGCCCCTTGGGTGCCTCAATATCATCATGGTTACTTGAATACTCCACGTACTAGTACTAGTACTAGTAGTTACTATGTTGATGATAACAATGAGCCTTGTTTTAGAGAATTACCGACACCGCGGCAGACAAATCTTTATGATTGTGGTTTATATGTGATGGCCATTGCTAGAGTCATATGTCAATGGTACTGCGTGGCGGCCTCTAGTGCTACTACTACCCAGGTGGATGACGAAGACGAAGGCCATGATGCTCGGTTTCCGAACATCATGAAGCATGTTGATAATTATTTGGAATCGACAATGCGTTCTGAGTTGTTGGTCCTCGTTGAACAACTCAAATCTCATTCTACTGGCCTTGATGATCAGCCGCAGCCCCAGCCCCAGCCCCAACAAACTAGTATTCTATTATGTGATGATGCACAAGCACTTTATGATGAGAAACTAATATGAAGTCAAATTCTTTCTTCCTTTCGATCCATCTCGTTATCTTTTATTTCAGCATTTGTATCAATATATGCATTGCATACCAAAACTATTATATGAAGCCAGTGCATGCATGCATATGCATATGCATATGGGGTTTCATAATCATAAGCTGCGTAACACCGAGTGAGAGTGAGAGAAAAGAGAGATCACTTAGAGGAAGAGACAGAGGCGGCATAGATTAAATTAAAGGACGATAAGACTACTAATTTTAATTAATTAAAAGTAAGGTCAACTTTTAGGTGCTATAATGCTACAATTATTGGAATTAATAAATTAATTATATTCTGTGTGGTAATCCCACTTATTCTTTGTTTGTTAATTTTCTACGCTATCGGTTTGGTTGGTGTTGTCGTATTAATTCATTATCCCTCCCTCCGTATCTAGTTAATCTCTTGCGGTCCCACAACCTCAGCCTCAGACTCAGAGGCTGAATTAATCATGTAGTTGTGAATGAATTGTGCCAAAAGAGAGTGACCTCAGCCGCCATTATAGTCGATTTATATACGAATTTGCTTTTAAACTAACAATCCACTCACTCGTTCATGGACAAAGGTCGTGCCAATTCTAAATTAACTTCAAATGTTTGCAAGAACTTGTGTTGTGTGCACCCGAAAGAAACTCAACTTTTCTAAGGAAAATCTCTTGCAATCTTCTTTTGCAGGAATTTTAAAATCAAATCAAATCAAGGTACTTAATTTGTTAGTTTTTCATCCCAAGTGCGTTTATTTTTTGCTTTTATTATTAATTGAGGTCGAAATTTTATTAAATAGTCGTATTCCATTGCATGCAAAGTTCTTCGTGGAGAGTTTTGGTGGTTTGTAGGGGACAACAATTTATAGGATATAAGATAGGATAGAACTCTCTCTCTCTCTCTCTCTCTCTCTCTCTCTGTGTTTAGTAATCATATACTTTCCACTAGAATAATGGAATGGCCATGAATTGATGTTACTGTTGTGCATGCTTGTTTTGTTCATAGTGCGATGGAAAAGTTTATCATGCATGGCGGAGTACTCAACTACTCAATGTACTCATGCATCTTATGCAATCATTATGCATATGTATACAAAATGTGAGTGGCTGGTCGACACAAAGAAAATAAAATAAAATCAAACTCCTCGTCACTCACCCCCACAGGAGAAACTCTACACGAGTCAATCAATGGGGAATTGGATTTGGTCAAGAGCTGCCTTAATTTTACAACTGAAAATTAATAATCGAATATTGAAATTGCTCGCTTAAGGATGATTATATATATATATATATATATATATATATTCTACCCTTGATTTCATTCAATTTACATTTTGCATGCCCTAATACAAGGAACAAGAACATTTGCGTTGAGAAAGTTTACATAAATATTTCGACGTGTTATATATATATGGTTATCTTTTATTGAGGGATTCCTTAAATAATTTTATTTGACGGACACCCACCCTTTAGGGTATCTTATAATTTTTTTTTCTTTTCCAACAATCCAAACAATAATCCTTTCTACAAATTAGACAAATCGAAAACTGTTTCGGCATCCAATTGTATCATACAAAATCAATGAACTTAGTGCTTCAAGAAAGTATAAAATTTTTAATAATGCAATAGAGTGGTCAAACGATATCAGATTCAAGTAATTTTTTTATTTTATAAAGATGATCTTTGAATGATTATATAAAACATAGACATTTGGAATAATGAAATACAATACGGAGTGGGCCCTATAAGAGTGTCCTTCAAATGAGCTTATTTGAGGGATCCCTCAATAGAATCTCTCTCTTTTATATATATAACTCATATATTTAACATGCACGTGCTCACTCCTTTATTTTAAATAATGAAAAGCGTGAGTAAACCTTCTTATTAGGCTATACATAATCAAGCTTAGTCTAGCTACTACATACTAATGCATGCAGGGACAGAGAATGTTTTATATATACATATCACTCATCTTTCTTTATGTCTTGCTAACAATTAATTAATGTCGTCGGTCTCACTCATTCGTCTACTTAATATTAATTAGCGTCTACTTAAAGCTAATTGAAAAGGCTAGCATGCACTACTTCATTATTTTATTTTATTTTTTTGTTTGTTATAAGCCTCTATAGGAAATAGTAATACTCATCCTTTCCTATCGCACTTTTTAAAGCTCCACTCAGCTCAAGGACCTGAACTAAAGTAGTAGAGGGAATGAATTCTTGGCTTTGGTCTTTACCAAGGAATAAGCAGACACACAAATTTAAGATAGCTAGCTTAGCATATACACAGAGTTAGTAATTGTCAACTGATGATGAAGAATGTGTGTCTCGTGACGAAATGTAAACATTTTACAAGATATCTCAAATATCTAATTAATGTGTCTTTGAGAGTCTGAAGCTATGCAAAGGTTCAGAAATCACAAAATTGCAATTACGTACGTACCCTTTTATCTAGATACACAATTCTTAATTGATTATCTGTTTTGATTTGATTATATCTGACTGAAGCCCAAAAAGGCAAAAGAAAGACAATTAAAGTTGAAGAAAGCTAGCAAGCACAGGAGTCAAGATATATAGTACACTTTACTCCTCTCATAATTACAACTGTCACAAATTAATCCAAAAACTAGAATACAAAAACAAAACCCAATCCTCTCAACCGGAAACACTTATGTGTAACAGAAATAATACTGTTTTGCTATATCTGATCAATCACGCTATGTCACCCCGTGATAACTTCTTCATTTGACTGATTGACCAAAAATAACAAAACAATATTATCCCAATATCATATAAGTTTTTTGGCCTCTAACCCATGGTGAGGGGCAATGCCAATGGGGCCTCACCCTCACTCAATTATTCCAATGCTAGCTAGCTAGCCAGGCCTTGACCTTTTTGCTGCCCTCCTCCATCTCAATTCTCTAGTGCTATATATATGTATAATATATTATATGCATATCCCAAAACCCAAACCGCCTCATAGATACAACCTATATTCCCACCTCCCAATTACTGTTTCAAACCCAAAGCAAGCAAGGTATAGCCAGCTTAATTAATTTACATTGTCAATTTGAAGCTAGCTGGCTAACAGAAACCATGGTAGCCGTACGTGTGAAGCAGGCAGTAGCGGTACTAGTTAAAAGGGCTGCAGTGCTGCTCTTCTTCTTCCTAATTAGCGGCTGCGCCACCACCACCGCCACCGCTACCTCCACCATCCGCAGTACTATTACTTACCCAGAGTTTCAGGAGTTGAACGTAAACGAAACCATCGCGGGGACCAAAATGAATATCGGGCCACCTACGGCAGCTGCACGCAACGTCACAAGCAGCAGCAGCAGCAGCCCCACCACCACTGCCAGTACTAGCGATAGTGGGGGAGGAGGAGGAGGAAAATGGAAGGTGAAGGTGGTTCACAGAGACACGATATCATTACAATCTTACCGGAACGGCGGCGGCCATACCCATACCCACCTTTTCCATGCACGCATGAAAAGGGATGCAAAGAGGGTTGCTAGCCTTATGCGGCGCCTAAGTCATCGTATAAGCAGCAGCAGCAACAGCAGCACCATTGATGAGGAGGAGAAGGAGGAGGAGAAGGGTTTCGGGTCGGAAGTGGTGTCGGGTATGGAGCAAGGGAGTGGAGAATACTTCGTTCGGATCGGAGTGGGGAGCCCTCCAAGAAGCCAATACATAGTGATTGACTCCGGAAGTGATATCGTTTGGGTCCAGTGTCAACCTTGTAGCCAGTGTTACCACCAGTCCGATCCGATCTTTGACCCAGCCCATTCTGCTTCTTATATGGGGGTCTCCTGCAGCTCCTCAGTCTGCGGCCACCTCCAGAACCCTGGCTGCCATGCGGGTCGATGCCGCTACGAGGCCTCCTACGGGGACGGGTCCTATACGGAGGGCACGCTTGCCCTCGAGACTCTTACGTTGGGGAGCACCCTCATCCAGAACGTGGCCATCGGCTGCGGCCATATGAACCGGGGCATGTTTGTGGGAGCCGCTGGTCTTTTGGGGCTTGGGGGTGGGCCCATGTCTTTTGTGGGTCAGCTCGCCGGCCAGACCGGCGGTGCTTTCACTTACTGCTTAGTCAGCCGGGGCCGCCGCAGTGGTACTGCTAGTGACACTGACGACGCAGCAGCAGCAAGCGAATTGGGCAGCGGAGGAGGAGGGTCTATTGAGTTCGGGCGTGAGGCGATGCCCGTGGGTGCTGCATGGGTCCCTCTGATCCGGAACCCACGGGCCCCGAGTTTTTATTTTGTGGGGCTTGCGGGTCTTGGGGTTGGAGGGATGCGGGTGCCCATATCGGAAGACATATTCGGGCAAAGCGAAGGAGGGGTTGTGATGGACACGGGCACCGCCGTCACAAGGTTCCCGACGGTGGCTTATGAGGCGTTCCGGGACAGTTTTGTTCAGCAGACCGCCAACCTCCCTCGCCTCTCCTCCGGAGTCTCCATCTTTGACACTTGCTACGACCTCAACGGTTTCGTGTCGGTTCGGGTGCCAACCGTTTCGTTTTATTTCTCGGGTGCGGGTGGACCCATCCTGACCCTTCCGGCCAGCAATTTTCTAATTCCGGTGGATGACAAGGGCAGTTTTTGCTTTGCATTTGCTCCTTCCCCATCCGGGCTTTCCATAATAGGCAACATTCAGCAAGAGGGCATCCAGATTTCATTCGATGGAGCCAATGGTTTTGTGGGATTCGGACCCAATGTCTGCTAAATATTACATTACGGTACCTAGCTATTAATACATATTCTGGTAATTAATATTTCCAGTTGAGTAGATTATATTATAGATGATAGATAGCCATTCTCTTTTATTTAGTTAAACCGTGAAGTAGGTTGGTGAAGAACTTACTAGAATATATATATATATATATATATATGTATGTATTTGACATCATGGAGGGATGGCTTTTGTCCGTGTGTGAATGTGAATGTATGACAAATGTAATAGTAATATTCTTATGGACCAGGACCAAATTTCTAAAAATAAAAAAGTATTGCTTTTCACCTTTTCAATTTTTAACCTTTCACTTGAAGAGAAAACTGAAAAGGGCGGACAATTCGGGGGGTAGTTATGAATTATTAAATAAATATCAAGACAGTCCTCAAAAGAATCACAAAATTATTGCATTCACGACTACTAAGTCTACCAGACTACACTTGGGTTGCCTTTCTTTTGTGTCTGTTTTGTGTGAACTACTAAAGGAATGAGGATCCAAGAGAGCCCTTTTATTTATTTTCTCATTGCCCAAACTCAACGAGAAACATTTGTGTGAAACGGATTGTTTTGCTAAACTCGGTCAGCAATAATGATATGTCATGTGTGATAACTTTTCTACGTGAGAGTATAAGCATGCTGCTGACTGTTTGTAGTGTTGGAGAGTCGTGATCATGAGCTGAGGGAGCCACCACCGTTTCGGACATGTGACACCAACAATCAATCACCACCTTTGGCCTTTGGCCTTTGGTCTTTGGCTTTGGTGCGTGTGACCCAAGTTGGAGTGCATTCAAGCAATGACTTTTACAAAGGCATTCATTCATTCATTGATTCACTCACTTTTTTCCTCTTTTTGCAACATTCATTATAAGTGAAGTGACTAGATTATTTTACTTTTCAGATTAGGCCAGGCCGGGCCAGGGATATCATATTAGGAACCAAAAATGAAGTTACTTTGTAATAATAATACCATAAAAAGTAAGTTGATCTTGATTTGATACTACTAGCACTAGTACTACACACATACCATTTCATTCTGATTTTAATCACTTAATTAATCAGGTTTATCAAGAATCATCAATGCAGTATCAATACAGAAGAATGAATACAGGACATGCCTGTGAGATCACTTTCCCCACATTACTAATAGGCCCACCACCACTAAAGTCAGTATTTGTTGGTGAAATGTGGGAAAAAGTAAGGGAATCAAAATAAAAGTAATAATATGATTTGACCGACTGACTGGATTTTGTCCATGACCTGCTGCTTTCCTCAATCCTTCGGCTTGGGTTGGGATATACTTGAATTTTTTCTTTCGGAATTAGCACAACCCAGTTTCCTTTCCACGGCAACCCACCCATGCACCCAGGCACCCAGGCACCCATGCACCCAGGGAAGCATGTCATGTCAGTCCCCCTTTTTATTCACACAAATCTAATCCTTCAGCTTATATTCATTCGCTGACAATGCCTAAAAACAAACCAGACATGAAAAAAGATTACTAACCGTTATTGCTTAACTAGTGCAGTAGTATTTATTTCCAGTGGGAAACCAAACCACTAATAGCTACTGTCAGCTCTTTCTTCGACACTTTTCACGTTCCTCCACTCCGCGTTGCATTCCATCTCCACCAAACTCATTTCCTAAAACTCAACTAGACAAATCGAAAATGTCCCATCCAATGGCAAGTAACAACCAATGATGATGATGAGGAGGTCAGTATCTTATATTTTTCCTTCCTCTTCCTCTTCTGTTCACAACATTTGATCTTCTCTCTTGTGAACAGGCAGCAAGCATTAATATCACATAAGCAACATTTTACATTCATTATTATATGAACAAAACTAAATCAAAGCAAGGTATGCTAGAGTCTTTTGTACAATAAAATAGATTAGAATATTTACAGCCGCCCTACGGGTGCTGCTACTCAGCACTTGAGGGGAACAAAAAATGCCTTCTTTGGCCTGGGAAGTCAAAAAACGGACGCAGGTTAGGATGCACATCTGTCTACACCCATGACAGAGCCTACATCAACCGGCTCTGCTACCACATATTTCATGTATCCTTCATTAATCAGGATCCCGATTCATAATTCTCTATAATTGTTTCTAGACAACCCTTGATACAGCAAAAATACTTGAGCCTGAGCCTTGTGTTCTAAACCATAAATAGGTATCTGAGATCCTCAACTGTCAGACGTGCGGCAGAGCCCCCACTATGATCTTCGCCAAAAGCAGACGCAACCATTTTTCTCTTCTCTTCCTGCAGAACAGCGAGTAAAACAAAAAGTATTAGAACTATGGTCTGACATATATGTCTACAGTATTTCATCAGTGAGCCTAAAAGATACATAAACATAACAGAAAAATAGTTTCCTTTTCTATTTAATCTTTCTGGCTGCTATCTAAAATCATAAAACTTCAAAAGCCTGACTGTTAGCATAATGAATAGAGTGATGCTATCAAGCAAGGCCAGACATACAGACATGAATTTGATTTAGAGTTTGACAACACAGTAGCTTTATTTTTTGGTTGAAGACAACACAGTAGCTTAGACCATCTAACAAGAGATCTTACCTATTACTCTCTCTCTCTCTCTCTCTCTCTCTCTCTCTATCTCTTACACACACACACACACACACGTATACATACATACATATGTATAGGGAAATGTTCTCTTCTCAGACTGATTTTGGACCATTGATCAAATTGATTTTCAGATTATAGGAATTGATAAAAAAAGGCTAGTGAAGGTTTCAGAAGACTTGTAAAGAAGTGAGAGAAAGAACGAAACACATGGAGAGCAACCAAAAGTAATTATGTTGAGTCCAGGAATTTATTTTTAATACTAGTAAAATGTTCTTGCACCAGATAAGGTTTTAAGGAACCCATCCTATAGAAATCAGAATTAGAGGGGAAAAAAATGCAGCAGCAGTACAAACCCAATATGCAATAGTAAGTAAAAGATCAAACCTGTAGAGCTAATATCCTGTCCTCCACTGTATCCTTAATAGTGAGACGTGTTACAGTAACAGGTCGAGTCTGTCCAATTCTATGTGCCCGATCAACAGCTTGATCTTCAGTAGTTGGATTCCACCACAGGTCCAAAAGGATAACATGGCATGCAGCAACCATGTTCAGACCAAGGTTTCCTGCCTTTAGGGACATAAGCATAACAGTGATCTGCAATATATTTTAACCATTAAGATGTAAAAATTAATAACCAGATTGAGGCAGTAAACGGGTTAGTCATGCAGTGTTAACAATTTTTCATATAAAAGTACAACACTAAAGCACGTATAGTTCAGTGCTATTTCAACATCTCACATCCACAGATACGCATTCTAACCAAAATATCCTTATGAGGTTCAGGTTTTCCCACCTTGCCCTTTTTTTTGTCAAGCCCAACTTGCACATTTAAAAGAAAGAAAACATGATGAACTAAAACAGAAGCAGTTATGGATTATTTTGAGCAATTTATCAAGGTAAGGACCAAAACCTCAGGATCAGTGTTGAAATCTTTGACACCCCTGTCTCTTGATGCCAGACTCATTGTACCATCAAGCCTTCTGTACTGTATACAATATTGGTTCAGTGATGTTTCAACTAAATCCAACATGCTAGTCCATTGGGAGAAAATAATTGCTTTTATTGGTCCATCATTTGGGGAGTTTGAAACTACTGTTGTGTGCTTTACAACATCAACACCTGAATAGCTACTATCTGTGATTTCGGTTCCAAAATAAGGGTCTCCATTGCGTCCAGTAGAGTTGTACGGTTCCGAATTTGAGTCGTTTAACTGGCAATGTGACTGCAAAATCTTAATAACAGCTCTGATTTTAGATGAACTATACTCATTCTGTACCACAATTGATTTCTCATCCGACTGAGAATTCACTGAACTACCATCAAGATCATTAGATAGGCAACTTATGAGAGTGGATTTGGAGAAGACGTTATCAGGACCAACTTGTTCTTTACATTCAATAGCAGGGCACATATTGTCATCACCCGTCAAATATTCTGATACACACTGATAGCAGAAAACATGGCCACACATAGTAACAACAGGGTCTTCAGGTGGATCCTGCCAAAAGTATTAAATACAAGAAGAGTTAAATAGGCACACAATGTTTGCACAATATTCTTTTAATATTCTGACACTCAATTTTCAAAGAGAATCATCAGTGCAATCCCCAAAAATTAGTTGAACATGTTAATTTTTTTTTTCTTTTCAAAGTTACAAAAACACAATGGAAGAACATTGGTTTCAAATATAAAGCATCATGATGCAGAGGAATATTTATTGATATAGTATTCATTACATCCATGTAAAAGCACCTTTTGGTGAAACTCTCAAAAACACATAAAATGCCCTTTGTTAAACAGAATATTAGACAAGAGAAATTTAGTTCTAAAAGGTAAAATGGTAAAAAAGCAAAACTAAGAACTGTCCTAGGCAATTTCTTAAAATTTAGAATTTTAAAAAATAAATAAAAACTAGAAAGAAGACTACGTTCTAACAACTAACAAGCTTGCAAGATGGTTGTTGTATACATTAACTGATTCTTGGGCAAATGGGTTTTATCTAAGAACAAAAATCTGACCTAAAAAAAAAACACGAACAAAAAAATATCAGTTAAATAAGTTAAGTGTTCTATCTTCGTAAAGCCAGGATAGGGAGAGAGAAAAAGGATCAATGGCAGAAAAACCATCGATGTGAGGTGTGATGTTGCAGGTAGGTGATTACAGGTATAAAAGATCCATGGCAGAAAAACCATCGATGTGAGATGTGACGTTGGAAGGGTAAACATTTTCCTATTGTCCCCTAATGCATCAGTTTTTATTTTGTCATTTGGCATGAAGTTATGGTTGTCAGGATTAAGAATGACACCATTCCATATACTTACTAAATAGTTATCGCACGACAAACAAAATGTTAATTAGCGAAAGGAAAAGTTTAAGTCTATCAACCCATCAAACGTAATTTTAGTTTAAAATTTGCTACTTATTTTTAATTTAATTCAATTTATATTGCTATATAAGTAATATGCAATAGAAAAAGTCAATTGGCACACATGTTAGTGAGTGTCAAGAGACTAGGAATTTATAAGGGGAAAAAGTAGAAAAGGAGAAAGTAACTTTCTTTTAGTCCCATGCAACTCACAGTACACTTCCTATAACCCAACATTTGCATCTCAATAGCATATACATTCACATATGAAAAATAACACCAGAAAATAACAAAAGTAAGAAAACAAATCGCATTGATTCAATTTCAAACTAACCTGAAACTCTGAGACCATTTTCACATAGGAATAACAAGCAAGCACTGTGTATCTCCTATAATTGGCTGAGCCCCTAATTAAAGTATATAATACTAATACTATATCCTAGCAGAAGAAAGATGTGGAGTCATCACAAAAATTAACAGGCAGTCATCACAGCCTCCCTGCTGTGCACGATGTAGTTGATCAAATCCGAAAACAGATGTTTTGTAATCTTCCTTAACATAATTTATGTATATATAGATTTACAGGCTTTTATAAGCTACAAATGAAAAATGAGGGGGTAGGTTTAAAGAAAGCTCACATTGCATACACGACAAAGGGCCAAGGAAGTTTCCAGGAGATGCAGTAGATCCAAAAGCATAACTCTAGGAAGTTGCCTTGCCATTTTCACAGAATCTTTCCCAACACAGTCAGAGTCATATCCCTTAACAAGCAGTGGGTGGTCACAAGCCTGCCGGAGGCGCAAAAGCATCAAAAGGATATTTGCATAGTTTTGATTAACTGTCCCAGCAGCAGCATAGGCCTGCAAGATACAAAAGAAATCAGCATACTAGAGTGTATAAACCCGGATTGAATCTTCATGAGATCACAAAAAGAATCTTCCTCAAAACTGCAGGTTGGTTATATTTATACCATGGAGTTCCTACCTGTACCATTTTGCAATAAATATAAAGAAGATGAATACAGTACAAAACAGTCAGACAGCACTACCTCGAGTAGAATAAATAAAACAAAACGGAATGCACCTTGAATTTAGTACGTGAATCAGCTTCTAGCTTGGTATAGAAGGCCCGCTCCTCAGATGAGAACTCCACTTTACTCAAATGTATTGTTTTTGGCGGTAATTCAATTATAGGTTGCCCATCGATCAATGTTCCTACGTAGAATAACTAAGTATGATAAGCACCAAATAGTAATTCAAAGTCCAAAATTTCAAACTAGACAAGCACACCCGCATTAGTTCACAGTATTGGAACAACATAGCAGACATTTTATTAATAGATCAACATATGTAGTCACAAAAAACTATCAATGACATATTTGTACAAAACAAACCAATAGCTAAAGAACTAGAATAAATTTATTAGATGAAAAACTACACCATAAAATCAACTACTGACTATCAAAATCAAATAACCAGAACAAAATTTTCACCTTTTGTTCGACGCAACATTATAGCCCTCAGAACTGCTTGAAGCTTCTTGTAACCGTGGATTGAATTTCTCGATATTGGAACCTTAATGGTACTGTAAAATGACTTATATACAGCATAGGGATCATACTTCAGAAATCTGAAGTAGCTGTATAAATCATCAATTGCATTTTGTATAGGTGTACCGGACAAACACCACCTTCTTTTGGCTCGAAGGCTACAGCAGGCTCTGGCCACTTGAGTTCTGTGATTCTTAATTGTCTGAGCTTCATCCAGTATCACCCTAAACCAACCCACTCTTGCAAGGGGACCAGAACCGCAATCAAAAGAGGAACTATCAATTCCTTTTCTGCCCTTCTTTCCCTTCTTACTAACAACAGGAGCCTTTTTTCTCTTCTTATTAATTGAAAATTCAGAAGACATTCCATATTTTTCCCCATTTTTCTCATCAGATTCATCATCATCAACTAAAGGTTGTTTCGGGACTTCATTGGTTACAATAGAATATGTCGTGAGAACCACATCATAGCCAGCCAGTTCTTCAGGATTCTTTGTCCTGCTGCCTCCATGATAAATAAGGACACGCAGCTTTGCTTCCTCAGCGACCTTATCATCCAGCTCCCTAGCCCACTGTCGAAGAACACTTGCTGGACACACAACCAATGTACCTGCTGCTGGCCTCTGCTTTTTGAAGGACCGTGCAGATGTACTAACTTCTGGAGTTGATCGAATATCATCAGATTCCTCAGTCTTGTTGACTTTATCTAAACCACCACTGCCATTGTCCTCATCATCATCCAAATTTAAAGCTTCAGTTTTATGATTGCCTAAATCTTTAGATTTTGATTGTGAATCCAAAAACCTCTGCATTTGTATAAGGGCAATCATTGAGATAGTCTTACCAAGGCCCTGTAAGATAAAAGCGTTATGAATCCATGTAAAGCATACATATAAAATTGTTAGCCAAGTATCTAAAATTAAGCTAGAGCTACAGGTCAGAAGACTATTATTGAATTACCTGATCATCTGCTAAGATTCCACCTAGACAATGCAGACTTCTAGTTTCCTTTTGAAGCATCCATGCCAAAGCAATTTTCTGTGACGCAAATTTATTTGAGTTAAAAAACACATATTCATCAAAATGATAGAACGAAATAAAATAGATAGAGAGAAACACCTGATGCCGTAAAAGAGGGACCGACAAAAGACCATCAGGTAGAGTAGCTTCAACTTTTGGTTGATTGAGATCCTGCAAGAACCAAACTTCCTTACCACTTCAAAGAGGATTCATTGGTGTCAAACTAGGATAAGAATATCTAGGACCAATCTTTTTCCACGGATTATATTTAAGATATCACGAAAGCTGCATTAGTAACTATTGTGAACACTGCTATGTTCAGCCATTTCACAAAAGCTTGTTTGTCATAAGTTTACTATTTGCTTAACAAGTTCATTCTTCAGAGTCACAATTTAGTAGTAGCAGAAGGATTTCACCAAATTCTAAGGAGGTGGCATAGCAGTAAAAAGAAATGGGTAAAACGGGATTAGGAATAGACTGAGAAGTAACCAGATCTTCAAAACTCACTCTATGTAGGTTCACTTCAAACTGGCTTAGAAAATAAAAAGAGAAAGAAGGAAAGATGGAACATGAGAAAGTACCAAATTTATGTTCCCTTCCAAACTGGTTTTGACCCCAAAATTCGTACAATGAAAATGAATTTTTAATTACCATAAGATTACCAAACAGCATTCATTTTTAAAACATGCGATACCACACATGGCTGGTCCCGTTCTTGGGTTTCCAAACATACAAGGCTCTTCCCAGGTATTCTATACCTAACCATTTTTATTTTAATAAATCTCACAAAATAATCAAGAACAAAACACATATCATACCAAAAATTACAAAAATAACCCAAGTACGCAATGGACTCATATAAAACAAGAAAAGATCCAGATCCTATTTACACTGTGCAGGTATTTGGAACAATGTTATGGCTGTAGAAATACCTCTAGTGCTGCTTGATATATCAGTCTCTCATCACTATCAGTGACCCTTTCTTCACCTATGCCAGGATGGTATGCGGGGTCACTTGAACTAGCAAACTGTGAAGTAGAAAATGACTTTCCATGCATGAAAGTGGGAGGCAGGACCCTACTCCCACTGCTCTCAGGCCTAACAAATTCATTGGCATTGCCCCTGGTATGGTCTCTCATAAATCCCTTGCCATTGGTTCCATAAGTATCACCAAACTGACTGTGGGCCATGTTATCTCTTGCATTCTGCAGAGATGGGGGAAGGGTCCTCTTCAAATCCCGTTGGGATGAGATTTTCTCATAGTCCTTAACAGAAATATTAGCGATTCGTGAATTCTGAGGCTGTTCCACATTTCCAAAATGTGCTCGAGCCGCCTGTCGACTTGAGGTTCTTATGTCATCGCTTGAACTGGGATGAAACTTCTGTTTCACCTGTGCATGGTGATTAAAATTAGGAGAGCTTCCATTAGAAGCATATGCTCTTCTAGGAGAAGGCACCTTTCTAGACTGCCCAGCATAATCTGAAAATTTCATTAATTCTCATGTAATTAATAATACATAAACTTAACTTTAAACATGGGCAGGCTCTTAAAATACAAAACCCAGTCTAACCTGTACTCGGATTTGAGCCAGTTCCAGATGCCCAAGGTGAAAGAATTCTACTGTTGACAGATTCCCCTTCTTCCCTCTCTGTTTCACTATCAGATGAACTAATATCTATAAAATCCCTTTGAGCCATGAAGGTTGAAAGTTGAGTTTCCCTTTCTTCAACCAATTTAGAAAGAGAGTTTCTTGAAGGTAAGCCAATCTAAAATCACAAAGTATTGCTGAAATCTCATGGTGCAGCAACATAACCAGAGGAGCAACATATTTATTAAAATGACTCACCACATCCGCGCAATTCTTTGAGATTAAACTGCCAACCAATCCACTTAAAAAGGAGCAATATCTCCAAGATGAATAAAAAAAATCTTGAAGATAATCCGCATGACCAAACATCTAAGCAGCTGCATCCCCTCTTCCTTCAAAATCAGAAGATTAATAAGTTGAGCAGATTAAGCCGCAGTAAAAAACTTGATTTTGGACTGGAATGGGAATTAAATATTTTGAAGTTCATAGAAACAGATGCAAAAAGGAAGGTGGATTAGTTTATCTGGAATCTTAAAAATACACACACACACACACACACATACACACATATATACATATATATATATATATATATATAGTGAGCTTCTTAAGGGATCCCTCAAATAAGGACACCCTTGTAGGGCTCACTCCGCATTGTATTTCGCTAATCCAAACCGTCTATTTTTTAGATAATCATTCAAAGATCATCTCTGCAAAAAATCAATTGAATCCGATATCATTTGACCACTCAATTGAGTTATTGAAATTTTAGTACTTTCTAGAAGCACCGTGTCCATTGATTTTGTAGGACACAATTGGATGTCTAAACAATTTCCGACTTGTCTAATTTTTTGCAAGGATGATCTATGAATGAAGACCTAAAAAATAGATGGTTTGGATCGTTGAAAAAAAATTCGTAGCATACCCTAAACGGTGTCCCTCAAATAAAATTATTTGAGGGATCCCTCAATAGGATACTCTAAAGGGTGTCCCTCAAATATATGTATGTATGTATGTATAACCACTACATATCAACAATGTATTTTACAAAGATAAGAACGGGAATACAACACTACATGGCTGTGCATGAAATTCAGGCAATCATTTGGACTACAAGTCAGTAAGGTCATAAATGTTATTGGCTGAACTGATAAGACTACAGCATATACAAGTACGGTCAGCACTAATTAAAGTTTACATATAACATTTAAAAAACAAAAAGGAAATAAGTGCCATTTAACATGAATTTCAAAAGAAATGAAATTGAGTTCTGGATAGACTACAATATAAGCAGGTTGATTCTAATTATAAATGAAACTAGGTTGATTTTGATTAAATAAATAAAAAAGAAGTAGATTTCGAAAAAGAGAATGCAAGCTGATGAACCCTCGGGGCCAGAGGTTAGCAGCATTATATAGGACCACACTCTTTTGCTGTTAACAGGATAAGAGTGATACAGAAGCAGGCCTAAGGAAGCCTCTCCTACTACACAAGTATACCAAAATCATGTGCTAATAGAAAACGCGAGATCCTTGAGGAAGTTGCATTATCAGTTGCTCATTAGTCACTACTTGACTTTATATCTAGATATCTATATGTGGTAAGAACTAGGCATATATCCACTAGAGTAATTCAATTGACTGACTAAGATAATATAGACAAACTTAATGTTTTTGCATTATCTCTGTAGTTTCCTAGCAGGAACTCAAAAAGTGTTGTAGACTGCTAACTAGTGAACACTGATGTTAGTAAAACCAAAAGGCTAAAACTTTGAAAAGGGAGAGAGATACCTAATTAAAAACCCTACAAACCTTTCAAGAATTCAACGATTTCCGTAGGAATAACAAGTGCCCAACAATATTTATGATAAACCCATTAAGAAAAATGATAAATTGAAAAAACAAAGCATGCAGTGGGTAAAAGAAAAGATGATAAGCGAAGCCATCTTGGTTCTTGGTTCATGAAACTGAACCCAAAGTTCAAAACTTTACCCGGTCAAATACAGAGGAAATAGGAATGAGAAAGGGAAACCATACCTGTAAAGTTGTAATGGCTGATTCTCATTGCAGTGCTCCCCACTGTTTATAGGGTTTACAGTGGAGAAGATGGACGGAGACAGAGAGCCAACGGTAGCGTTTAGAACAATGAAAGGCTGTTTTTTTTTTTTTTTTTTTGGGTGAACTGGGATGGAAAGAGATCTTGTATTACGAACGAGAGTATCACCCAAAAAAAAAAAATTAAAATTAAAAAATAGTGCCCAAGTTAATAAATACGGAAGAAAAAAAAAGTCTTCAACGTGCTTCTTTTTGGTTCTGGTGTTGAAAAACTTTGATCAGGAGGACCTTCAACATATTTAACTAAAGTTAATAAATAATTTGTTTTGTATTCGCATAATCAATTTTTTTTCACGCCCTATTTAATTCAATTTCTTTATATTAAAAAAAAAACATCATAAATCCAGATCCGAACCATTGTTTGTTTGTCTTTGTTACAGTAGAAAAAGAAGATGGGCTGAGTCTTGAAGAAGCCCACTATCTGAGAGATGATGGGCTGAGTTGTGAGTTTGTGTCGTATATGAGTTCAGTTCAGTTCAGTTCCAACAACATTGGATTGTTACTTTACTTTTTGCCCTTTCTTTCTTTCCGTTGTCTACTTTCGAAGAAGAAAAACCGACCATTTCCTATCCATGATGCCATGCCATGCCATGCCATCGTGGCTTGATGGGGCTGCGTATGAAATGAAAGAATGATGAACATCATAAAGCCCAGGCCAGCCCAGCCCAACCCAACCCAACCCAATGTATGAATGTCAGCATCAAGCAGCATATAATTTGTGCTCTAAGAATAGGCCCAACCCAACTATCTCATCAAAACCAGAGAGGGACAAGTCGTTAAATCTACACCGTCAGTCAATACAATGGGGAAACAGACGGTAGATACATATACAAGTCATCGATCCGCGCCAATCGAAGATGGCGGGGTTCTAATAATTGTTTTGGCGGCAACCAATTTTCCCTCTTCGGTTTTCATCAAATTTCAAACTGAAACAAATCAAAATATATATTTGCTTTGGGTTCACTTCACCCTTTGATATTCAGGCAGCGTTCATACTTTCGTAGAAGAAGAAGAAGAAATGGGAGGTGGGTCAATGAAATCGAACCCAACCAAGGCGAGGAAGAGGGTGGAGGCCACGGAGGAGTCAAGTGTACCTTCTCTTGTTCGTGGCAAGGACGGCAGCGCCTTTGCCCGATGGTACCCATTCCCATCTCTCCTCTCCGCTTATCTTTCTTTTCCTTTCTAATTCCCCATTTCTATTGTTCTTCTTTATTTTCCATGTTTAATTACTTCTATTGCATTTATGCCTGCCCTGGTTTTGTTTTCTTGGCTGTAAAGGAATTTATACTTTTTAGGGCAGATCGATTAGTCAACATATTGACTAGATTGTGGGTTATTTTGCAGCGAGGAGTGCAACAAGAATGTCCCAGTGGCACTCATCAGCATGCACAGCTGTAGCCTTGATGCCAAAATCAAGTTGCATCTGAGTGGGTTTTGCTTTTTATATATTTTTTTTGGGGGGAGAATATTATATCATTTGGTTGATTTGGTTTGCTTTACTTGTGTTTGTTCGTTCAGGCTCTCAGGTTGTGGAAAGGCCGCCTGAAGCGAATAAGAAGTCTCCCACAGAGAGGTATGCCCAAATTGCTCTGGCTCTTTCTCTTCATTTGCGTTGCTCTTGCTCTTGCTCTTGCACTTGTGTGATTTACTTATCTCTTGATTTGGTTAAATTGTAATTTTTGCAGGAAGAGGTCCACTACATCAGAGCCCAAGTCAAAGAAAGCCAAGAAGGACAAAGATCCAAATGCACCCAAGCGCCCTCTCACTGCCTTCTTCCTCTTCATGTAAATCTCATCTCATCCTCTGTTTCTCTCTGTGTGTGTATGCAATAATGCAATTACCAATATGATACAGTGTACAGCACTGCCAGTTTGTATGATGGTTGCATGTGTGACGTTGCTTGGTGTTAATTGGGGTAGGATTTTGTATACTGCAGGGACGATTTCAGGAAATCTTTCAAGGAAGCCAATCCTGATTCGAAGCTTGTTAAGACGGTATGTTGTTTTCAGTCTTATGTAACTCCATTCATGTATGGTATGCTATGTTTTGATGATTTCGGGCATTAACGCTGCAACTTAAAAAATGGATTTCAGGTTGCAAAGGAGGGTGGTGAGAAGTGGAAGTCTATGACTGACGAGGTTTTGTTTTTTTTGTATTCGTTTTGTCTTTTTAAGATTTTGTTTCTTTGCTTGTCGACAGCAAATGGTGAATTGACTCTATATTTTCTTGTGTCGGATGTCAAATGTGTTTAGGAGAAGAAGCCTTATGTGGATAAGGCAGCTGAGCTTAAAGCAGAGTATAAAAAAGCATTGGAGATGGAGACTGATGATGCCGATGCTGATGCAGATGCAGAAGTTGGGGATGTAAAGACTCTCGCTATTGCTCATTCTTCAATTTTGAGTGTTATGCTCTTGGGTTAAATTTTGATATATTTTCTTTTTGTTTCGGTGGTTATTCAGGATGAAATTGAAGGAGGTTCAGAGAAAGAAGCTTCAGAGAAGGAAGTTTAATGAATGTGTCCTCCATTTAGGGAAATGGTGTCTAATACATGTTTCTGGATTCTTGTAAATTCTCAGTCTGGTTTTGTTCGAATAGGTATAATGGCAGTTTTGGTTGTTCTGTGTTAAAATAGGAAATGTTTAGTGCCTCGCTTACTCATTGTCTTGTGGGGTTGAAACTTGGAACTTGGAATGATGATGAACAGTTGCATTTTAAGTTACAAAGTGCATTTTTGTAAGCATTTGAAGCAAATGATTTGTTCTATATGCTCTGTCTGGATGTTAAGCTTAAGTAAAACACCTTATGGATATGGAAACAAGGTTTCTTAAATTTAAAATGAATAGGATAATCATGTAAAAAGAAACAGATAATAAGTGACTATCTCTTGGCTGGGCTTGGCTCTTGCAAGTTGCAAGTTACAATTGCAGTAGACATCCTATTTCCTATATTAATTTATGATCATGTCTCAATGAAACTGGTGATATGGTATGGGCTGCTCCTGCTCCTGCTCCTGCACCCGAGTCAGCTTCTTACTGGCTCTGCCTGCAAGGTGGCATAGGCTTGCCACAAAGGCACAAATTGTGCAGATAGGCAGCTGCAGGAAAAATGTTAAATGGTCTCCCTTGTGGGATCTCCCCACACAACCTGTTTGCCCTGAAGCTTGCGTGCTTGAGACGTTCAATCCCCAGTAGGCTGTTTGGAATCTTTCCAGTGAGCCCATTGATGGACACGTCAAGCCATTGAAGCTTCACCAGCAACCCCAAACTTGTGGGGATGGTGCCTGTTATCTGGTTTCTTGATATATCAAACCTCTCCAGTTGAGCCAGGTTTGAAACTGAGTTGGGGATGGGACCAGCGATCTTGTTGCTTCCTACGTCGAGCACTTTCAGCCTCAAGCCTTCCCTAAACTCTGGGATGCCACCAGAAATTTGGTTGTTGGATACATCTACGAACTCCAAAAAGCTGCTTGCCCTGTCATTTAAGATTCCTGTCGACCCTGAGAGAGATCCGGTGAGCTGATTTGCGTGTACATCTAGGGAAGAAAGGGTGTCGGGCAACTTGATTTCTGAAAGATCAGCCTTGAGTTGGTTGTTGGAGAGGTTGAGGTTCTGCAGGCTTGACATGTTGGTCAACAAGTTTGAAATTCCACCAGTAAAATGATTATGAGAGAGGTCAATGGAGTTGAAAGAATCAGGCTTTGCAAAGCTTGGGAGGGTTCCGCTTAACTGGCAGCCGGCAAGATGAACATCTCGAAGCTGTCTGCTCCTGATCCAATCTGGAACTTTCCCCAAACTGAGCTTGTTGTAAGACAAGTCTATTGACAAGAGAGAAGGAATGCCCGTGGCAAGGGTAGAGGGAAGAGGGTCTGAAAGCCCATTGGCAGATAAATTTAGGTACCAGAGGTTGTGCAACCTTGAAATGGAAATGGGAATGTGGCCGGTAAGGCGATTGGAGCTCAATGAAAGACTGGTAAGGGATTTGAGACCCTCCACCTGGACTGGGATTATGCCGGTCAGCTGGTTATGGTTCAGAGAGAGGTCCAAAAGCTTGGGCAAGCTGAAGAGGGAAATCGGCATCTGACCAGAAAACTGGTTATTGGAGAGGTCAATCAAAGTGAGGTTTGGTAAGTAGCGGCCACCAATGAAATCTGGAATGAGGCCGGACAACATATTGAAGCTGAGATCAAGATACTGCAAAGCATGACAATTTTGAAAAGTGGGAGGGATTGGACCAGTGAGGAAATTGCTTTTTAAATTGATTTGGACGAGATTGGTGAGATGGCCTAGGGTTGGGGGAATCTGACCCCTGAAACGGTTGCCGCTGAGGGAGAGGCTTTGGAGGGAGGACAAATGACCTAAACCTGGAGGAATGTTCCCTCCGAGGGAATTGTCTTCAAGGGCCAATTGGGTGAGGTGGGCGAGATTAGAGAAGCTCTCAGGAATTGGACCTGTGATTTGCTTGAACCCACTGATTACCATTACCTCCAAGAAATTCAAATTGCCCAGAGAAGGGGAGAGAGTGCCCTTCATGTAAAGGCCAGAGTCTCTATCTGCAGCAGCATCACCAGTAGCCGTAGCTGGTCTCTGCAACTGCAACACAGTAACCCTCCCAGCTGGATTGCACTCAACACCTTCCCAACCTCCTCCACAGCAGTCTCTGCCTATCCATGAAGAAAGAATTCCTGTTGTGTCCTTGATGATTCTGCCTTTGAAGCTCACAAGGGAAGCTCTATCTGCTTCTGCGCAAACAGGGGATCCTCCTCCTCCTCCTCCTCCAGTTTCTGTTTGAGCTTCAGACGAGGACACTAGCACTATTGACAACATACAATACAATATTAGTGATAATACTAGCATAATTTGGTTGGAGTTGGAAACCCATCTCAGGACCACGACTGGCATTTTCATTTTGATCCTATGATGAACGATCTGATTATTTAGAAGAAAAAGAAAAAGAAAAAAAAATATGGAAATTTCTAGTGTATTGGGGATCTGATTGACAGGGGGGGGTTGAAATCTAGCTTGCTAGATGGTCCCCAAATTATAATTTAGAATGGAAAAGGTGGGAAAAGCTTGAAAGCAGCAGACACGGGCTTATTCTATTTCTTGAGGCCTTCCCGTAGACAGGAAGGTTTAATGATGAAAAAGGATGGTGGAAATGGAAACAATCTGAATATGGAAGTGTGTTTCAGAATACATAATAATGGTAATAATAAAAATGTGGGATGGATGGATTGAATATGTCTCAAGGGAACTATGTACCTCTTTATTTATACAGGTAAGTAACAGCCAAAAGAGCAAAATAGTTGTATGAGGGAAGGAAATAGAATGTTTGATGAAAGATGAGGGGGAAAATCAATTTAAAGACTTTCACATGTAAAATAAAATTGTGACCGTTTGATGATCACGAGGATCCTAGTTGCACTTTGAACGTTGGAGCGCACTAGATTCAAAATCTGCTGCTTAGTTTTTTTGTTTTTTGAACTTTAAAAGAAACGAAATCAATCAACCCTTTCTTTTGCAGAGCTCGTCGCCCTCCACAAGTTTCATGCTGCTGGTGCGTGCCAACAATCATTTCTTGCGCCAAAGAAGAAGGCTATAATTTCTGCTGGTTTGGCTTGGAGTTAAAAAGCGCCTGACTTCTAAGTTGTGAGGGAATTACTTTCATGTGACTTTGGGTTGCTTGGTTGCTTCTAATTTACTTCATATTGTATTGAGGCCAAAAAAGAAAGAGGTTAATTTCAATTTAGTACCCCGAACTCTTATCTTTAAGACACGTTTGTCATTGCACTCTCAATTTTAACGATTACATACCATAAGCTTTTTAGTTTTGTACTTCATCGTCAAAATTTCCGTTAATTGCTTGTGTGACAAACTTGGGTCCCATCTATTTACTTATTTCACTTCAATTGAAGGGTATTTTGTTTAAAAAAAAAAAAAGGGTTTGGTATTAATGTGTGCAATGTGTTCTTCATAGGCAAAAAGACACGAATTATTCGAAAATACTCTTCAACTGACATTGAAATAAATGGATAGGTGAGACTCATGTCTGCCACACAATCAATTAACGGAAATTTTGATATCCAAGTTAACGCCGGAACCAGATGGCAAAAAATTGAAAAGTTTTGGGTATGTAATTGTTAAAATTGAGAGTGTATGGACAAATGTGCTTTAAAGGTAAGAGTTCATGATACTAAATCGAAATTAACCACAAAAAACACCCCTTTTTAAAAAGGTATATATGAAAGTAATTTTCACCGTTTGTCAACTGGCTGGACAATTTTCTCCTAAGCAAATCAATTGCAACATTTATAACGGTATAATCTGAGTTTTAATAGTATGACAAAGACAAGTGATGATAAAAGAATGGTTGGATGGATAGAAAAGGGAAGTGTGAAAATCACTTCCCTTGATCTACCTAAGATATGCTGCAACCACCCCCGCCTGATCAGTACCACCATATCTATTTGCTCCCAGGAAGTTCCATTGATTGCTCATGATTATTGACTTTTCCTAATTTGGAAGATAGCTTTAGTGATTATAACCAGTAGAAAGTGCTTTAATCTGTCTTAAATAGATTCTAACTAGCAAAAGTGCTTTAATCTGTCTTAAATTGAATGCTAATGTTATTCCCACCATACATCTTTAATTTTAATTAATTAAGTTTGTTCTTTTTTATTTTTATTTCTCTACTGTGCCATGTTCTAAACTATTTTAATTACTCAGAGATAAGAGATTCAAATCCCGACACAAGAAAATGAACACACTGGATTAATCAACTACCCTAGTTCACATAAGCTAGCCTGTGTACCATGTTCTTCGTTATAGTGATCATTTGCATTTTGCATACAGTAAGTGATTAGAGTAAAAAGAAGGATCCAGGATTTTCTAGTAACGCTTGTTCCGCTATGCCAAATTTCCAATTGACATGCACATGCCTGCAGTGGAGAAGCTTTGACTTATTAAGGGGATGTTTGTCAAACTATCGTCCTTCGGTTTTGACTTATTTGGTCTTTTAATTGTGTTTTTCTCCTAACTTTTCACAAATAGAATTCATATTTTATGTCTTCTCTACTGGAGGGCATGGCTGGAACGGGCAGGTGATAGCTCTTCCATTGTCCTGTCCTATGGGAAGAAAATAAAAGTAAAGTAAAAAAAGCAATAAGCCTAACAAACATTTATAGTTTGATGGTGATTGAAAATGAGGAATTCTAAAATAAAAGTTTCGTATTTATTTCTAATTAATAAAGATGTGTTTCGAAGATTTTTTTTTTTTGAAGAGAAAACGAAATTTTTTTTTTGTTGTTGAGAGAAAACGAAATTTGATTGACGTATTATTACAAATCAAATTATATGTGTAAGAAATATCGTGGACACCAAATTCATCCATGGACCAAATCTGTGTCTCAAATCAAATGATATGTTCTATTTGTCAAAGAACATAAATTCAATGATTTGGGTTTCCTCGTAAATGAGTTATCAAACCTGTATCAGATTAGGTTGCGTTGATTGCGCTTAAAGGGGAATTGGCCCCCATTGCATGTATATGGATCGACAATGTTGACTAGGATGTTGAATCTATGCGGAATTGGAAAACTAGATTTCGGAGTCTTTTTAAGTTGAAGAAGATATTTTAGGCAGACATGGTACCTAATCTTGTGAACCTAAAAAACCTAGAGGGTCCTACCACATGATTCTTGTTTCACGTTTGAAGTTTATATGGTTCAACATGACATGTTAAAAAAGGAAACTTTATTAGCGGGGCCTCGTAACTGAAATGATTAAGAGCAATTACTCTTACACTTGAGGTATGGTGTTCGAATTCTCATTCCTCCAATTACCGCTTGGCTGGCCATATATGTATATGGTAATTTTCTCTTGCAAGGTTAAATTATGTTGCAAACACTGATGCTTATGTATTGGCAAGAGAGAAGAAAAACGTCACTCTTATGTTGCTTGATGAACAACACAAAAACATCACTCTTGTTGATTCAAGGTACCGTACGAGGACTGATTCATGACTCATGAGAGCTTTTATTTATTTGTTTATTTATATATGAAGATGACGGACGGACGGACGGATGGATGGGTGGATGTGTGTATAAAGTGAGTGTCTACTTGACAAGGCCCAAGTTGAGGATGCCCCAGGAAGTTTGTGGCCATGATCTGTCCCTTGCCTTCATGAGCAGCACTCTTGCCCAAGCAATCCATCCTTCCCAAGACATCCTCTTGTCCCAAGCACTCCCCCATTCCAACATCAGAGTCAGCCCTCTCTCTGCCTCTCTCTCTCTGCCTCCTCAAACTTTGCTTTTGTCACATAAACCTGAGCCAACACCACATGTGGCTTCCCAGTAAAAGGGTTTCTCTCAACACACGACCTCAACAGAACCACCGTCGCTTCCTCATCATCAGCTCCTCTACCATCATCAACAATCTCTCTCTTAGACGACGACGACATACCACAAACAGCTTCCCAGTACAAATCCCTTGCAGCCCTTGTGCACTTGTCGAAAACTGGCGGCACCACCAGCTCAATATCTTCATCTCTAGATTTGTCCAACCTGTCTCCAGTTGCAGTAGCACTAGTAATTTTCCTCTCTTGAACAAAAATCGCTTCCTCTCTCACGATCAGAGTGTATATTGCAGCCATTCTTGATATGGAATTCATCCAAAGCCCTGGCTTGCCATCGCCAGGCCACAGAGCTGCACAGTTGTCCTTAAACTCAAGGCGGCCATCTATGTTATCAAACAGCTCGTCCTGGAAACCAAAAAGTTGGTCACTGAAATCTGCCATTGTCATCATAAGAAACACTGCAACTACCCTCCTTGAGACCAAGACATCTTCCCCGGTGTGCTTCACTGTAATCCCATTAGCAGGAACAAGAGTTTGCAGTTTCTTCCTCCAACTCCAAGGCGCTGCTGAGTGATCCTCCTGAATCTGATCCTGATTATTAGAATTGGAATTAGTGGAAGGGGCAGCAAGCGATACCTCAGATTGTTTGAGATGTTCAACGAGCTCCGAGTCTGTGTAGTGGAACAAAAGGTCATCGTGAATTAGAGACTGTCTTGGGACGACACAGGACAAGCGTTCTGCAGCATCCCCAACATGGCTGCGGACCACTTCACGGCCTATTGAGGGATCAAATATGGCGAGGTTGACATAGGAATTGGAATAAGCAGAGTGAAAGAGGCCGCAAAGGCAGACAGAATCTTGGGCTTTCCGTATCTTAAGAATGCGGTATATGTCAACCAACCAGGTGTTCAAGAAAGGTGCCATGCTTGTGCCAGCACTCACCTGCTCCAACTGAGCGCAGCACACCCACAAGTGAAGGCAAATTCTCGTCGATCGCCTCCAGCTCGCCACGGAGGAAGGGGCGGGCCGAGTCTAAGAGCCTTTGCAGGTACTCCTGGCTGCTGCTCTCCGACTCCGAAGAAGATCGAAGCGATGAAGATGGCATTATTGCTGCTGCTGCTCAATTCTATAAATTTGATTGGATAATCTAAATTCTTTCTAATCAGCAATCAAGCCAAGGGAAAAGCTACAATACAACGAGAGAGAGAGAGAGAGAGACGTAAAAAGACTCCGTTCTTGTGAAAGCTCTGTTGTTGGGAAGAGATGAGAGATCAGGTTTTGTTTTTGTTTTGTATCTGTTCTGTTTTGTTTGTTACTTTGCTTGTCGGGATTTACGCCTTAGCTTTTGTTGATGACTCAATGCAGTCTGGAAAAGGTTCCTACTTCATAGATGGTGACACAAACCAGGAAAACATACTTGTAACAAGGTTCACTGTTTTGCTATCCCTGCTACTTCGCGGATGGTGTTGGTGACACGAACCCTAAAAACTTACTTGTAACGGTGATATCACCAGCCATTAATACGACGACACGTAGAACAATTATCTCACGTGCCATTGCATCATTGGCCAGGATAACAAAAAGTGATACCCCAAACACCTTCAACCCTCGTTCAATCCTCACCCAAAATAAATAATAAATAAAAATAAGCCAATTATAAATAAATTTAAACTTTAGAGAGGTGCAAGGATAACTCACCCTCACAACTCTGGATTGTAGAGGATTAAAAGGACTGGCAGGTAAGAGGATTATTTTTTTACTTTTTTTTGGGTCAGAAGGAAAGAGTATTCTAAGCAACCGATACATACACCGAGGGAGGGTTGAACTGGAAATGAAATGTTTGAACTCTGAATATAAAGCCCATTTCACCTTCTGTTCAGTTGAACGTTTAATTTCTTATGGCTTTCTCCTCCAATAAGTATGTATGACTAACTGAACTGATCCAACCTTGCTAGTTTTTGAAAATGGTTGTTTTGCTTGTGTAGTTGGATTGGCACACGCAGAATCACTTCCCTATAGTTGGTCGTTATTTCCTTCTAATAATGTAGCATTCAACTTTTACCCATAAAATAAGTCACATTCAACAGAAAAATGCAAGAGTCTCCAATGCAGGCCTGTAAACGGGTCAGAGATGGAGCGGAGCACTTGAAATTCCACTCAACCCGAGTTTAAATTTTTTTTTACCCAATCCGATTCGAAATCCGATTAGATTCCAACATCACCATACTAGACCAAAAAAAAAAAAAAAAGTGAATCCTATATTATTTGCACCACATCCTCCTACCTGGAGCAGTCTTGTTTATACCATATTTGACCAAGCAACTAGAAGCAACTCTAGGCGAAGTAAAGAGTCCCACATTGGAATATTACAAGAAGTGAAGGCTCTCCCTCACCTATAAAAGGAGACCACTCTCCCTTAGAAAAGGATCTTTTGGGTTGGGATTGATCTTTAGTCATGACCTTCCCCTTTCTTACATTTAAATTTGGGTCCAACCCCATGTACAAATGTAAATACACAATATTACAATAATGAGAATATACTTCTCCGTGGATGTAACCCATTCATGAAGGGTGAACCACGTATATCTTGTCTTCTGTATGCTTATCGCTTGCTCAAATTCTCACACACTTGGTGAAGGTCCTCACCTTCACCCATGATCCATCACACCTCATCACTAAGTTGCGCGGGAAAATTACAGAACCATTTTTCTGCGTCAACAAGTCTAATTAATTCAACCCAGATCCTTGGGCAGGAACCATATCCAGAGCCTTCATAATGAAGGTATATATGAAGGCATCTTCTTGAAGCTTCTCAAATCTGCACCAAACAAACAAGAAAGGGGAAGAAACACAAATTAGTTCCTTACCGAGAATGCATGGAAATACTTCAGACTTCAACGATCTTTAAGGCCATAGAGTTCTCGCTGTTTTTAATTATAAGCAATTGTTCCTCTCACCTTTGTGAAATTGTGACTTGCATTTACGTCCAAAATGAACGGATAATAAAATTTTATTTAAAATGAATAATCCACTCTGTTTCAGAAATTATAGCCAAAAGAATTTTACCTTCCCGACTTTGAAGTATGGCCAGCACCAAATTCACATTTAAACATAATGATGTTTTTATCAGTCTTCATATCCCTTAGTTTTGCCACAAATTTAGCAGGTTCTGAATACATCACACGTGGATCTGTTGCAATAAACCAGTGTCTCAAATGGAATGCCAGGAGAAAAAAAGCATTATCAGATATGAAATTAAAATTTCCCTCTTTCCATTACACAGCTGAGTCTCATCCATGGGATCAGCCACCAACATCCAATAAGCCCTACCCATGAAGTCCTCTAAACATAATGATTTGACTTAAACATTCAAATGTGTTTAACAGTGCTCAGTTTCTGTTGGAGAATAAAAGTATTTCCAACTAGGATTCTACGTGAGTATTTGTTTAGCAGTGTAAAGTAACTTCCTCGTGTAAGTGATTTGATTTGATTTACTTTCTTTCTGTGATTAGGCTTAGACTTTATTTAAAACCTTCTACGGTTAAAGTTAAGATCAAAGTATTACATTCTCACCCTACTTTTTCAACATGGTACAATACGACTTAATATTTTTAAACAGGGTTCCTTTTTTCCAGACCGCAAGCCTTCCGATAGATTTTAATTATATACATAAAGAAATTATCTGAGAATTTCCTATTTCAAGATAATAACGAACTATATTGTGGGCGCACCCTGCAATCTTTCATGGCAATGCTAACTATTTCAAGATAATGAAGAAATTGAAATTGCAGAAGCAAAAGTGTTATGATCTTGTGCCTACCATTTAGACCAGCAGTAACAAGAATGTTTGGATAATTTTGCGCCTTAACCTGCATTAAATAATGCCAAACTTAGATCATTAAGGTAAAAAATATTTTAGGAATGTATTACAATTCATGACTTAGTGCTTGGCAATTTTATCAGGGACAGAAGAATAGAGAAAGGTCTTTAATTTTGGCTATTTGTCTGTTGTCTGTAAATGATCACTTTGACGATACCAAATTATGGTTATTCTAGCTTACTTGTTATAACGATACTGATTAAAGCAGTACAGAACAGGTTTTTTTCTCACATTATCAACAGGGGAATACGACTTCATGTAAAAGTAGAACTCCTCTTTACGTGGATCACCCCATTCCTGCAGAAACAAAATTATATCAGTGAATAGTATCTAAACATACATTTTGAAAAGAAATAGTAGCAAGCTTACTGCAGTCACCAAGAGTCACCTTAGATCATAAAGATGGGGCAAATGGATATAATTAGGTAGATCTGGAAAACCAAAGAATATTTAAACCTAAGAAGCATGGATACGCCAATTTAGTGGCGTATCCCGTATCGGATACTCGTTTGGATACGATACGCTTCGGATACGGTCCGATACGCATTGGATACGTATCGCAGTCAACGGATACGTTAGTTGACTAATGGATTCGAGTATCCGACATTCCAGACACGAGTATCTGACTTTTTAGATACGAACCTCCGGGCGAAGTTTGCCGTTGAAGGGCTGTTGAGGAGCCCCTGGGTGCTGCGTGTGAAGAGGGAGGGAGGGAGGGAGGGAGAGAGAAGAAGAAGAAGATGTCAGACTGGAAGGGGAGAGAGAGGGAGAGAGACAGAGAGACAGAGAGGGAGAGAAGAAGAAGATGTCAGACTGATCTCAAGTGACGACGCCGTTTGCCAAAATATATTTATAATTTATAAATATAATTTATTTAAAATATATTTTAGGTTATATATATTTATTAATATATGTTAATATATATTTTTAATAACCGTATCCATGACATATCGTATCCTAGTTTTTGGAAATTTATCGTATTCCCGTGTCATGTCGTATCGTATCGCCGTATCCGTATCCGTTTCCGTGCTTCTTAGATTTAAACAAAGTTCAAGCGAAGAACTCCAAAAATTTTGTAGCGCAAAAAAAAGAAAAGAACAAGGAAAAATCGTGATGTCAAGTACGGGTTGACCCATACAAGGATACAAGTTGCGTTTGATGACAGTATCAATTAACTAGTGTTGCATTTATGTGATGTTTAAAATGATGTGATCATTATATTATTATCCACCCCAGTTAATCATTAAATCCCTAAGGAGATTAAGTTAACAATGCCCAAGTGATGGTCCATAAAACTAGATGTTCATCACATGCAAGCTATGGCATCCAAGAAAATTCACCAATTATAGACATAGCAAGAGTATTTCTGCATTCATAACAAACAATTTTACTAGGGAATTTCTTCTTCATTTCTTTCACCTTGTTAATGCTTCAATGTAAGAATCTCATGAGGAAAAGAAAAATACCTCCCACTCTGAAGTCGTGAGAGGGATAGTTGGATCAAGCATTGTCGTCAGAACATCAACAAAGGGCACTCCAGCAACAGCAGCCTTGAACAAATCAGGCCTCATATTAAGAACAGCACCAACAAGCAATCCACCTGCACTCCTTCCATCAATGCATAATCTTGCTTTTGAACAGTACTTCTTTTCCATCAAATACTCAGCACAAGCAATAAAATCGGTAAAAGTATTTTTCTTCTTTAGTAACTTTCCATTCTCATACCACTGCCTCCCCATTTCACCACCCCCACGAATGTGAGCTATAGCATAAATAAAACCATGATCCAGCAAAGACAGCCTTGAAGCTTTAAAACTGGGATCTATGCAGACCTGTTGACAAGATAAGGCTCTGAGTCATTGAGAGAGAAATGAATACAAGTGAAGAAAAAAAAAATCCCAATGGCTTGATATTGCCTCCTGCAGCATTTTACATGTGCTAGACTAAAGTCTATCTGGACAAAAGTCCGCAAGTTGTTACACCAGAGTGATTAGAGCAAAGCCAGAAGAGTAACCCGACATTAAGAAGTTCAAGGTTCTGAAAAGCATAATATGTGGCTTTACTTAGGATCTTTATTTTGTTTTTGTAGGAAACAATAATCTTACTGCAAAAATAAGTTATAAAACAGGGTAGACAAGAAATCCATCAGAAACACAGAAACAAAAACCTTAAAAAGCACCTTCTCCCAAGATGTTGGCTTTAAGTAGGATCTTAACGCTCTTTCTCACCGAGAAGTTACGATTCTAAAGATTTTCACAAACCTGTAGAAGAAAGACGCCAAAAGGACCACTGACAAACTTCAACGTATATGCACAGGAATTACTGAACTGTGATCAGAATTAGGCATCATAGGCCAGGGACAAAATTTTACATGCTAATTACTAATCCAAACGGATGCTATAAGGCTATAACAAGAAAACTTGTAAGCTTCTTAAGAAGACATCTGATGTTCATGCATTAAAAAAGGCAGACAAAAAGAAATGGGAATCAGGACTCATCTCTCGACTCCTGATTCTCCCGAGGTGTATGGCTTTAATGTTGCTGAAAAGGAAGACTAGAGCAGTTACATATAAAATTCAGAAACTTATCTTGGTGCTAATCTCTAGTACTATAACGCAGGGAATGACTGCAATCACAAAGATGGCTCTTGTTACATATCTTTAAGGGCTTCAGATTTCAGGGCTGTACTTTGATTAATTGACCAATTAGAAGTTCTCAAGGGGTATTTTGAAACATCTCGCAAATTTTCTACAAGACATGCTTCTCAATGTAATCACATTTGGAATATAATGATTGCAGTAAAAACAAAAAAAATATAAATGTATCACTCGTGCCTAGTTTAATCTATGAATCTTTTGTTACCTCATAGGAGCCATAGCCATAGAGTAGCAATGGATCCGATCCATCAAGTTTTATGAGATCCTTCCTGTAAACAATTGATATTGGTATCTGAGTACCATCTGGAGCACTAGCCCATTTCCTTTCAGTAACATAATTTGATGCTTCAAAACCTCCCAAAACCTGAGAAACAAAATTGACAACAATACTTCTGAATTACAATATTGAAATTTGTGTCTAATTTGACAGTAAGAAAAAGGCAACACTTGACCAGGCATCAAATAACTCAGGAAGATGCCATACAACCCAACTTTTTTGCCAACTCTCTCATGTACGAGGTTAGGTGATATCATGGATCTGATTCCATGACTACTGTATATGAAATGGGAATGAAAATGTGTAAAAGTTCCACTTTAAATATTTAACTTTGAAAACCAAAATAGTCCTTCTACACAGTAAACAAACTTCCTGCGGTTGGAACTTCATTGCTATTTCCCCCACAAAATCTCACATCATCGTACTAATAAGAAACCCAATTGCATCCCCTGCTTTTTTCAGAAAAAAACTATGTTGTGTAAAGTTTATACAATTTTGAACAATGACCGTACTGAACCAACTTATGTTCTTTCTTTTAGCTTCCTTATACAAACTACAATTTCTTGGTTGGTATATATTCATAACAGTATATGGAGTATTCGAAAATGAAAGAGAACAAAAATATAAGAACGAGATAATATGAGTGAATATTATGATCATGTCATGCAAAACCAGCATTCTCCCTAGACCTACAATAAACTTCGCATTAGTAAACAGATACGACCACTAAAGAAGGTAACATTTTCACACAACACACACACACATACACTCATGCACACGCAAAAACACATTTACACACACATACACACACAAAGGAACCCTGCGGCCAGGTATATATATTAAAGGTAATAAACGAAATCTTAATTTCCAATAACAAGCTTTGAAATGCCAATAAAAACGACTTACTGTTTCGATCTTCTTCAAAACAGAAATGCCCGTCTTCATATCATAATCATATACAGATGGAGGCGTTTTCATCGAGCTATAAGAAAATCTTAAAATTCTGGAAGAAAATTCTGATTCTGATCGACCCACAGAGTATGTGGGATCCAAAAAATTAACAGCTTGACCACTGTGAAGGCTTTTAAGCGGTTGTCCAACATCTGGAAGATGATAGATAGTGACTTTTGGTAGACCCTCTTCACGCTCATATACAACAAGGTGATCACTAAAAAGTTGTATATCCTGAATTTTTACACTGAAGAAAATTCTTATTAGTATGCTTAAAATAAGAAAGAAAATGTGCCTGCTAAAAATAGTGAAGGTCAAAAAATTGCCAAAGATTTTTCACGCCCTGAGAAAAATTCTAGAATGAATATGCAAATGCATAAGCAGCAATTGGACAATATGGCATGGAGGACGGAACAACACATCTAACTCCATCCATTGTTATATATCTCTTATTTACAGTTAAAAGAGCACATCAAAGGAAAATAGCTAGAGAAAGGCTCCAGAAAAAAGTTCAGTTTCATTTCTAGAAAATATACTGCAAATCACATTTAGATATGAAATGTTTTCAATCATGCATATCACATTCAATTTACACTTAAGCTGATAATGCCACAACTAGGACATAAGACATAATTTTCATAGTTCTTAAAATTTTTAAAAATGACAAGTCAATTCATGAACATTTTAAGGTCATGAATGAGGATGCGACTACCAAATTTGATGATTACCTTTCCCTGTGTGGAAGAAGAACAGTAGTTTCAGATGTATTTTCCAGTGGACAAGCAATTACTTCAGAATTAAAACATTTGTCACTTCTCCTCATTATAAAAAAATGATTTCCTCGATGACTAACAAATGTATCAATGCCATTTACACGAGGTGTCAGAACCACAAGCCCATCTTCAAGCTTTGCAATATCAAGGTAAAAGTTGAATCTTGTAATTTTACTTTCAGATCCAACAAATAAGAATTTTTTGCTCTCAGAAGCTTGAAGGTCAAGAGAAAACATATCATCCTTTTCATGATAGAGGCACGAGTCACTTGACTGTTCTGTTCCCAACTTATGTAACCATGCCTATTAAAAAGAAAACACGCTATAAGCTAAACAAAAAGGATTAAGCAGCACTTCACTCATAAAAGTAAACGATCGAACAGAATGCATGTAAAAGTTATCTTCTGTGTGAGTGAGCCAGACAGGGGTAAGGCATGACCTCCTGGCTCACTGCAACAAGACAAACCAGCAAGAAAACAGAAAGGACTTGTACAGAAATATAGGAGTATGCATCCTAATGAGGCATTGTCACCAGTTCTCATGAAAAATTATGTAATCATTTGTATTCTCACGTAAAAGCATGGGACTGTGGTCATTGAGCACACTATCTAAAATAAACACAGGAGAGCCTCATACATAGGATGTAAACAAATGGGGGGAAGCGCGGTAACAGAACCACTGGTAAGTTGCTAAATTCTAAAATTTACCTGAACATGAAGATCTTCAACACTAATAAGATAGCTAAATATCTTATAATGCTCTCTAGTCCTTGAATAATGACAACTCAAAAATTAATGGCACAAAGAATTGAACATGCAGGCGAAGTGGGTGTGTGAAACATGCCGTGACATGAGAAGCAGAGGGCTTGAAGCAGTAGAATCAAACCTTGTCAGGCCGGAGAGTTGCATCCATTGTAATATAAACTAAAGCCTCATCACCAGCCCATGCAAGATAGGATGTTGCATCAACTAGAGGCAGTCCCACAGGAGCACCTGTCTCAGCATCAATGACATGAATTGTATAAATTTCATTTCCTTTGGTGTCTTCTGTATATGCCACCAATTTATTATTTGGACTAACCTGAAGAAGCAATTACAACAAAGTGGAGAACTTTGTATCATCAAACAAGAAACCACTGCAATATCTGTTATAATCATATACACCATTGTTGTGGTTACCTTAAAAGCACCAATGCTATAATAGTCATGATGTTGAGCCTTAATATTCTCATCCAAGATTACATGCTCGGAAGGAGCATCAGGTCCGGTGGGCATTGTATCGTATACAGAGAGTGGGGCCTCAGCCTCAAAGTTGGGTATTAAGCGGCGACAATGCTGAACATATTCCTTACCCTTCAAAGTCCTTTGATAGTAATAGTAGGGGCCTTGTCGTTCAGGTGCAGATATATCATCCTCCTTGATCCTCCCCCTAATCGCAGCGTACAGTTCATCTTCAAATTTCTTAGTTCCTAATGTAAATAAATAAATTAAAAATAAAATTACATTGCTTTGCTACTAAAGTTAGAAACGAGCAAACAAAATCAAAAATCAAAATAATTGCATTTTATTTATAAGAACATGTGTGTGTTGGTTAAGTTTTGCAAGTAATAGATTAAAGGCTGTTGAGTGAAGATCAAATCAAAGTCGAAATACAGACAATTAATAGTTGAATACAAGTAACAAAGACAAATGAGACGGGAAACGAAGGGATAAGATGGAAAGAACAGATAGGTGGATACCTACCGGACATGAGGAATTGGGTGTAAGCGTTCTCTTGTTGAAGGTAAGAGAGGACGTCGGGGTTGGAGCGAGAGTCGTCTCGAAGCCAATAGTAGTTGTCCACTCTCACGTCTCCGAACATCTCCATCTTATGCTCCACCTTCTTCGCCATCGGAGGGGGAAGGGGAGGCTCACTCTGGCTCATCCTCACTGATGCTGCTGCTGCTTCTGATGATGACGACGACGCTAGGACGGTGATGGATGCAGAGGCACCAATTGACGACAATAAAACTGCTGGAAGGTACACAAGCTTGTGAACCAGGTTAAGAAAGCTCACACCCCTGCTGGCCCTGTGGCTCGGGATTCTCATCACCATTCTCATCTTTGCTATATATAATAATTAATAATAGGCTAGTAATTATTTTTTTGTTTTAGTAAACTAACTTAATTGCTTATTTTTATAATCCATTTATTGCAATGCAACCCAAGATTTCACAAACTCTCATCAATTCTCAAAAATGGCATCTGTACTGTACAAATTATGAATGATACATTGGGATTGGGTGGGTGCAATGCACGCCCTTTTGATTTGCCTTATCTTGTGTTTACATGATATGAGGATGAGTTCAGAATTTATTTGTGGTGAAAGAGACTTCAACATTTGGATTTTGGGAGGGAGGGGCCAACTCTCAACTCAACTTGGTATTGTCGTTTTGCCCCGTCCGATAACATCCATTTTAACATGTATTTATCAAATAGATTCCTTTTTAACATGTATTTATCTAAAGTAAAATCTATTCGCAGTGTTTCTCTAAAAACATTTTCACCAGTTAGCCCCTTGTCATGGCAAGATGAGCCCTAGGACAGCTACTATTCATGTGAATAGTGGCTGACCTAGCCTCCCCGGTAAAGTGTGTTTCCAGCAGTTTAGGTTTGCCATGGCAAATACTATTCTTTTTTTGTTTTTTTTCACAACTTTGTTTACTTAAACAATTAATTTGGATAATATTTTCGAATAAGATTTTTCGGTTCCTACGTGTCAATGCTATTCATATCGGATAAGATTTTCGGTTTCAAATTTCAGATACATTTTAAAATTCAAATTTAAGATAAATTTAAAATATCAAATTTCAGATACATTTCAAAATTCAAATTCCAGATAAATTTCAAAATTCAAATTTCATGTGAATTTCAAATTTTAGATAAGATTTTCACCCTCTAAAATTGCGCCACATGTCATCTCTATCTGCCTAAATTTTTCTATAAAACTAGAGGCTCAGCTCATACCTCCTACACCATATCTTCTCTACATCTTCATTTCTCATATTTTAGATTTCATTTATCATATTTTAGATTTCATTCTCCATTCTCAATGTCAGACATGAAAGAGGTTTTGGAGAGGCAAGAGCGAGAAATGTGAGCAAGAATGCGTAGAAGAGCTGCAAGCAAAAGGGCGCAGAGAGAACTAGATAAGCAACTTGGTGTGGCCGTTGCTTTGATGGAGGAAGAAAACCAGAGCCGTCGTGGTTCACGAGAAGGCCGGGCATCGAATGTGGATAGACATAGACATTCTCGGGGTAAGAATCTTCTGGAAGATTATTTTATCCCACAATCTCTGTACTCTGATGTTCATTTTTTGCAAGATATAGAATGCAACCCCATTTATTCAATAAAGTCATGCATGATATTTGCAATTATAATGACTACTTTGTTCAAAAGAAAAATTGTGCTGGAAATTTGGGGCTTCTTCCCGAGCAAAAGTTCACAGCTGTGATACTAATGTTGGCGTATGGGTCATCTGCTGATCAAGTGGATGAGATTGTCAGGATGGGGAAGTCCACTATTTTGGAGAGCTTGGTGTGATTTTGTGATGCAGTGGAAACTCTGTACACTAGGGACTACCTGCGCAGACCTACGCCCAGGGACCTGCAACGGCTTCTACAAAAAGCTGAGTCTCGTGGATTTCCTGGGATGATTGGTAGCATTGACTGCATGCACTGGCAATGAAAAAATTGTCCAACTGCTTGGCAATGGGATTATGGCAATCAAAAAGGGCAGAAAAGCATAATCCTCGAAGCAGTTGCTAGTTTTGATACATGGGTTTGGCACGCCTTCTTTGGAGTTGCCGGCTCTCAAAACGATTTGAACGTCATGGGTCAATCCCCGGTATTCAATGATGTTCTGAGAGGTGAAGGCCCAACTATCACATATCAAATTAATAATTCCGTCTACTAGAACGAGTATTATCTAGCTGATGGTATCTACCCGAGGTGGACAACATTTGTGAAATCAATTCCACATCCTCGATCCCATAAGGAAATTTTTTTTTGCTGCCTATCAAGAGAGGTATAGAAAAGATGTGGAGAGGTGCTTTGGTATCCTTCAAGCCCGGTGGGCAATTATCAGGGGCGCGGCACGTCTATTCGATGAGGAGGTGTTTAGGAGTATAATGATGACTTGTATCATCCTCCACAACATGATTGTGGAAGATGAGTATGATTATGATGCTAATGAAGTGTATGAACCAGATCCCATGAACACGGCCTTAACACGAATTTATGAAAAACCTATAGGGCCAAATGGAGAACCAGTGCAGCATGATCCGTTGGTTAAAGACGGTAGTTTCATGCATCGTATGATTGAGCGCTACACGGAGATGCAATCGTTGTATATTCATGAACACCGTCAAGTTTACTTGATGGAGCATTTGTGGGCGGTGAAAGGCAATGAAGGACAATGAACTGAAGTGAATATGTTTTTTTAATGTATTATGTTTATGTTGTATTTTTAGTTATGCTTTGTTGTTTTTTTATGCTTTAGTTGTGGTTTGTTTATTTTTTATGCTTTGGTTGTGGTTTG